TTTGGGGGGGGGGGGGGGGGGGAATCAACGCAGCCGGTGGTGGTTTTTCACATCGGCCGTCGAGAAAGTGGTGTGTGCGGCATGCATGCATCCCGCGCAGCATTTGAGCTGATTGCTGTGACGCTCCTCTTTTCCTTCGTTCCCAATTCATGTCCAAGTTGTGTCTGTCGGGACGCTCTGTTGTTTACGTCGTTTGTTGTCAATCTCACTACAAGTTCGGGCTTCCCGCTTCTTGACGTTCGTCGATTCTCATTCCTAGACCGCCGAGAACACCGTCTTGGTACCAATACTGCTGCATGGGACCCCGGAACAACAGAACACAGCGAGAACTTTCATGTCGACCAAGCTCAACAAGACAACGAAGGAGACGTGCGACGCGTCGGTGGAGAAACTCATGGCGGTTGCACACAAGGACGACGAGGGTGTATGGGTGAGGACGTCTGAGGGCGCTTGTAATACTGGGCGTAGTTTTGATACAGTTCCTTCGGAGGCTCAATGTACGAATATTTAGCCGGTCTGCCATTTGGGCGCCCTTTCAGAGCAACGGCCCAGGCTAGCAGAATCGAAATGGTTAACCAATGCTGTGCGTTGTACTGTGGAATCGCTTGGGCACGGAAGGCGTCAACAGGATCACCAAGTTCTCACGTACCCCTCCCACGTGCCGTCCTTGAAAACAGGTGCACAGGACGAAGCTCATCGACCTCTGCTGCACCGACGGGGACCTCACCAACTACCTGCTGGGTCCCAACGCTCAGTGCTCTCCCAGGAGGGTAGCGAAAAAGTTTAAGGTCTTGGCGGACTTCACCTCGTGGCCAGGGAGCAGATGCCAGCTGTACAGTCACACAGAAGACCTCGAGTATTCCCGATACTTCATTTTACGGGAATGAAAAGGAGGCGGTATGCTACTGCGTGTCTTTTGGTTTTCCCTTGCCTAAAAGTTGACATAGCTGGCGGTAGGGGGCAACGTTGCTACTACTGTGAGCGGGACGTGTTGTAGGCATGCCACCTTTGAGCAGCACATGGATGGTCAATTGTATTTGGACACGCCTGACATTTTTCGTGCATTCGCAGGATTTCAGGGTCACGGCAAGACCCTTCGAGCATGCAGGACGGCTGCACAAGGAACGATCTCCGGCATGCCGGTTTCTTGAAATGGCTCTGTGTACACGCCGATACAGCGGGAAATTGAATCCGTAGTCCAGTGATTCCCGGACGAACTCACCTCCTCCTCATGTTAGCAGGCAGGGGCCGGTGGCTTTTGCTGCCATGGCTATCTGTGTAGTGTAGAGGACGAAGACACGCATATCGCCCCGACGGTCTAGTGGTGAACCTTGCATGCATATTGTACCAGGTTTTCGGTTCAATTTTCTGTTTCTGAACGGGTATCTTTGCCTACAAAAATCACGGCGAAGACCCATGTTTATGGTCGCCAAATCTTTGCCAAAATGTTTATATTTTCAAACATTTGCGGACAAAGATTTTGTTTCACTGTTTATGGGAGAAAATCTTCGCCAAAATATTCTCAAACATTTTGAAATGGGGCAGGTCGCGAAAATGTTTCCCAAGAGCGGCGGGATTAGTAAACGACCGCCCCTTCCGCCCTAAACACCAACCACTGCCTAGCGCACACTCAACGTAGCAAGCTCATAGAGGGATCCGGACAATCCTAGAGTCACCGTGTCAATGTTTTGCCGGCTGATACATGGCGGGAGCTCGTCAAGCGTGCACAAAAAAAACAAACAGACAGGGGTGGTTTGGAGGGCACGGAGAAAGCGTGGTTTGTGTCTCCGAACGGCAAAAAGTCGGCTGCTTGAGAGGAGAGGTGAGTACAAAACTATCCAGCTCTCGTCCTCTAGACCATCGCTTCATGTTTTGTTTTCTTGGTTGTCTTCTCCATCAACGGCTCTCATCCGGGTGTGCGTGGTTCAGCAGTGGACGTACTCAACAGGCAGGGAGGCGCGTCGCTGTGAACTCGATGTGTTGAAAAAGTCTTTTTTGGGACGGAGGAACAAGCCCTCTATATTCAAGTGAAAAAATAAACCGAAAAAAACGTTGTGTCCACAACTTTGCGCGCACAACGATGTGCCTCCCTGCCGGCTGAGCGCGGCCACTGCCAACCCACGCATAACCGGATGAGATTCGTTGATGGAGAAGACACCCAAGAAGACAAAACATGAATCGATGGTCTAGAGGACGAGAGCTGGATAGTTTTGTACTCACGTGTCCTCTCAAGCGGCCGACTTTTTGCCGTTGGAAAGCGCTGACGCACGTTTTGGTCTCTTTTTTGACACCGAGAACATTTTTCTCGCACGCCCGGAGCGCTATCGCTACATATTGGCGGGCACAGCATCAGCTCAGTGCATCAAGGGTTGTGGGGAGCCCTTTGCGACCTTGTTACGTTCAGTTTCCATGACGCATTTGTGGTTTGTCTGTCACAAATCGTTTGGTAGCAGTAGACCACGATTCCCGCCGCACATGCGATGCATTTCGAGAAAACCACACGATAAAGATTTTGTTGCCCATAAAAACGGTACTCAAATGTTCCTCTGGCAGATATTCGCGCGCAAATGTTTGACAACATTTGAAGATTTTTTTCAAAGATTTGGCGACCATAAACATGGGTCGAAGAACGATTAATTCGTGATGGGCCCTTGCGTGCACAAAACATTTGCCGCGAGGTTGAGGTTTGCAAATATTATGGAGATGCGGTGGCTGTTGCCCTCTTGTATCCACCAACGATGATGTACTCGTCGCACAACAACAGCAGTAGATTCCGCATGCGATCGTGCATCAACCGCTAGGCCGCCGCACAACAGACACACTCGGGCATCAAAACCGCTTGTATTCTGAGCAGGTTCATGGGTTGCCATTGCAAAACGCAAACATATTTTCTGGCGCGTACTGTTAGACCGTTTTCAAACCTCTTTTGGCTCGGTACAATGTACAGCAGTGTTTGCATTTTTCGCGATAATCGAAATGCCACTGCCGGAAGCATGCGTGCATGAGGAGTCCGTCCCCGATTCCGTTCTCAAGCCTGAAACAATGAGCAAAATAACAACGCCAGCTTGGGACTATTATAGCAACGCCGACGATATTCGTCGACTTGCTTTCAACAATTCGTGAGTGTACGCCTGGTACTATGATCATAGCGAGCTCCCGAACGTTTCAGTTGCTAAAGCGGCTCCTGCTTTGCAGGCCAAGGAGACGAGCTGACCGGGAGTATAATCGTAGTCGCTACCCAGTCGAAATAATCAAATTGGCGCAAACGACGGAACGTCATCTGGTAAACTTTACAGCAGTGGGAAATGTACGCAAATCCACCATGGTCTCGTTCGCTCCGGGAGCATCGTGAGAGCTCGGAGGGAGCGAAATCTAATCTAACGCGTCTCCATTGTCGTCACCCGTGGCGGCGATCGCTGCGCCCGCGATGACCACGTTGCCAATGGACTATGCCCATATTTTATTAGCGTTTGGGGCGAGTCTCGATACAATGCGGGCCTGGGCCGACGGCCACCAAGAATTGAAATGAAACGAAGTTTGGGCGGGGCCAAGCAGGCCTTACCAATTCCAACTGTTGCACGGAAAGTCTGCTCCGAGGAAGATGATTGTATGTTTGGAAATAAATGCTCTGAGTAAGCTCTCGGTACTAGCGAGGCACAAAGAAACAATATTCTTCCATTCAACGGGTAAATATCCTTGTCGCTATATTCCACTTGATCATTTTCACGCCGCCGATGTTGCGGGCCTTGAACGGGCTGCCGATGTCTTGAAAACGGTAGAGGCGCAGGAACATGCCTCGTGCTTGCAAACGGTTTCTCGCTTCTTCGCAGCGGCCGATGATATATCGAATAAGACACGTGAACTCGCCCTTGCCGGTGCCGCAAAGGCCCATGATCTGCCTTAGGTCCACCTTATGTCAGGGGAGGGTGGGGTGGACAACTCGTGTGGAGTGTGTCGGTGCTCTGCGCCAGGGTATCCGCCCATGCACCGGAACGCATTCTAAACGACTCTCAAACTTCAGCGAAGTGTCACCCGATGCCTCATCTTTGAAACCCGGCATGCATGAACAACGGAACACCCAAAGTTACAGTGGCTGCCTGTTACGTGTGTTGGGAAATACATCATTCATTCGCAGCCTCTCAATCACTTGAGCCAAGCTCCTCATTCATGGAATAAACGCGTACCATCCGCCCGTTCCCGACACTAAAACTCCCCACACCATACCAATGGGTACCCAGTCAAACGCATTCCGACAACAGCATATTTCTTTCACCCATGGACACAACACCTACCACAAGTATGCTTTGCTCACCAGGTTCCGTCGTCCTTCTCCTTGGCAGTGCCTTTCAACCGAAGAATCAGCAGGTCGGACACCTCCTTGCCGAGCGGGGCGATCTCGTTCGCAACAAGAGCTTCAGCCTCCTTATGCTGGTCCAGTGTCCCCCCGCGAAGCATCGCCGCCGCCAAGACCACCGCCTCGGCGGCCTGGGCGAACGTAACATCATACATAAGAGGGCAGGATTGATAGGGCGTGTCTAAAAGATATCATCATTCAGTGTGCAGACAGCAAGAAACGAGCACCACGCGTCGTGGCCGGAAGGACTTTGTCAACTGCTTTCGGGCTCGAAACCAACGAGCAATACGCTCCATTTTTCACAGAGTGGGACTCGCACGTTCGAAACCCCACAGTAAAATCATCGTTACCCTTCGAAAGATTCAATATTGGCACAAATAATGGATTTACATAGAGAAACGTTTATTTGGGGGAATGTACGAAACGGGACGACGCGTCGGTTTCGCTCACGAAGCCTTCAGAGAACACGTAGAGGCAGTGCGCACTTTCGAGACCTTCGTACCCACCACTCAGCCTTGGTGCTGCAAACAGTTTCGGAGATCGGTGCGCCCCCGATGCTGCAAGAACTCTCAGCACCGAGGGGAGCATGCACAGGCGAGGGCCTCAAGGCCGCGGAAGGAGGCCTCACTAAATCCAATACACACCTTCATCCGCTCCGAGAAAGAGAGCATCTTAAACAAAAACAGATGGAAGTGGAGCTTGTTGAGAAGCACGATGACCACTACACCACGAGTCAGCGCTGACTAGTGGTGTAGTGGTCACCGTGCTTCTCAACAAAAGTTAATGCCCGTGTCCGATCTGGCTTTGCAGCCACGAGCACGTCCCCCCAGGGTTGCCATCCCTGTGATCGTCGCTGTCTTGCCCGGAAATCGCTATCGGCACAAGAGGGTCATCGACGTGTTTTGCGAAGCCTATTTTCCCAGGCTTTTTCTTCCTCATACAGTTCGGGCGCAAAGAAATGTATGCTTAAGGGGATATTCGAACCCCGTAGATAAGCTTTTGTTGAGAAGCACGATGACATTACACCACTAATCAGCGCTGACTCGTGGTGTAGTGGTCATCGTGCTTCTCAACAAAAGGTAATGCCCGTGTCCGACCTGGCTTTGCAGCCACGAGCACGTCCCCCCAGTTTTTTTTTTTTTTTTTTGAGAAACACACTGTGATTTATTATCCACGCACAGGCGCCCAAGCTGTCTTCACCTGACGGTTACAGACTTGGAAACACGCCTTCACAATGCCGGGGATAAAAAATCACTCTGTGTTTCTCTAAAAAAAAAAAAAAAAACTCAACAAAGCTCACGCCGGTTGCCGACCAGGATGATCCGCAAGAATCAATGCTCGTTCCGTTTCAGTGCCAATCACACATCATACTTTTTGTGATTATGTTGGCAATTGAACCAGACGTGCGCGCTGCACAGGTCGTGCTGCCGATTCCACATGTCAACCAGTTGTCCTCGTTTCCTTCCCTGTTTACGGCAACTTAAGCCCATTTGAACACGAAAATATAGTTCAGCTCCGATGCCCTACCATCCTGAGCCTTGCTACAAGCAAAGTTAAAGCATACCGATACGGCGTTGGTTTGTATCAGGTGCAGCAAGGCAGACTACGCATACGCTAGCCGCACACATCATCCGCTCAACCAATAGAAAACAGAGAAATGTTTTCCGGCGATTGTGCGTCACACCTTGGCCTGGGTCTTGGGCGTGGAGCGTGGCAGGAGCTTCGGGTGGTTATAGGGTATCCGCGCCTTCTTGCCAGGTGGGGAAGAGGAGCGTGAAGCCCCACCGCCGGAGGAGTCGCTCACGAATACGGCATCCTGGCAAGGGTGCGAAACGAACACGAAATGTCGGAACACAGCAAATGGCATCGAGAAAACATTGCCTCCGAAGTCCGGCACGGAAGTCCGTTTGGATTGCATCAGGTGAAGCATAGGCAGACTATGCATGCGCTAGCGGGTACAAATCACCCGTGCAATCTAGAGAAAACAGCCAAACGTTTCCCGGCGATTGTACATCGCACCTTGACCCGTGTCTTGGGAGGAGAGCCTGGCAGAATCTTCGGGTTGCTTTCGGAAACCCGTGCCTTCTTGCTAGGTGGGGGGGAGGAGCTTGAACTTCCACCGCCAGAAGAGTCCCTCACGAACATGGCATCATCCTGGCAAGGGTGCGAAAGACAATGAGATGTCAGAACACCGCAACGGGTATCGAGGAGCTTGACTGCGAGGTCCGGCACGCGAGTTCCGGCTTGAATGGGCGGAGAAGCGGGCGCACGAACGCATAGCACGCTCGCATCAGCACGACAACAGCAAATGCACAAGGACGAGGGGCAAGCGGGAGACGGAGCTGACGAGGATTATATTGCTAACCCCTGTGTTCAGAAGACGACGTTCCCGACACCGCAACCAAGCCTTGCCCTGCCAGGGGTACCCGCACCGTAGAATAGAGGAGTAGCTGGGTACAAGAAGGCACACCAATGCGGTCATGTCGATGTGGGACCCCCCCCTTTGCTGTGTTGGAGAAACAGTGCATACTCGATGAGCTTTACACAGCTTCGCTACCCTCAAGAAGAGTGTCCGAAAATAGTGGTCGGAGCTACGGGAAACGACTATTAGCACTGTTTTGTTAGCCCAAAACGGCAACCCCCGTACCACGTTCTCTTCAAAAGTGGCTCCCCGCCAAAAACTGCTGCCGCATCGCGGGCCAAACGGGGTAGCTCCTGTGCCGCTTGGCTCGGAGTCGTCGCAGGTACCCTCGGACCCGCAACAAGGCCGGAGCTCGAAAGTGCCGGGAAGAGGAAAGGTTAACTCCAAAATCGCGAGTTTTGCTGAATAAGGGCCGTTTTAAACGCGGCGAGTTTTTTCCAAATTTCCAAAATTTTCGTTCCAAAATCACACGGAACGGCGATTTGCGGCGCACACACAACATTTTTCTTTTTGGAAAATTTGGAAATTTGGAAAGAAAGGCGTAGGGGCCGAAAAATTTGGAATGGTTCGTTCCAAATTTTTGGAACCTTTCCATTTTTTTTTTTGAAAGTTGGAAATTTGGAGCGAAATAGCGTTGCGTTTAAAACGGCCCTAACACGGCACAACTCTGCCAGAAAGGTATTATAGAGGAAAGCACAAACAACATTTCGGAACACTACCTCGAGGCACGATTCACCTACCCGATGGAAAATAAAAACAACGCGGCTCGTGCAACAGCTTTAGGGCGAATGGTCGTATCAGCTGCTCATACAAACTTCATGGGATCATACGTTACTTACATCGCCGTCAGTTGTTGAGGCTGAGCCGGCTTAAGAGGGGATCTGGCCCAAGTCTTGTGAGTCGGCGGCATCAGCCCCCGCAGGTGGTAGCGGGGCGGATTTCGCTTCGGCACTACTGTTGTCCGGCGGCCCGCGCGAATGGGGTTGCTCTGCTGGCGGGGGCGACGCCGCCGAAACAGGGGGTAACATTATTGCTGCCGCAGCTCTCGAAGAGGAGGAGGTGGCGACCGCGACGGTGGTCTCAGTGGCTCTCGAAGGTGGTAAAGCGAACCCACCGTCGAGCTTGGCCGCCTCCAGTCGCAGCCAGACAGGATTGTTGCCGGGAAACACACCGTATCGTCGACGCTGGCACTCGTCGCATGGCCACCGGCAGCAACACCGGTCTCACGCCCCGCGGTACAGCGGGCGTGGGCCCGTGACCCGCAGTCCAGGCACTTCTTGCTGCCGGGGTGGTTCTTTGTTGAGCCAGGAGCCCGGTCATCGTCGAGGCAAATTGGGCACCACTGCTGATTTCCGAGTTTCTGAGTCACTGCCCCCTTTCCCCTGAGAGACGGATGGATCTCGTACTCCGTTGGACCACGCTCGCCATTGGGGCAGCGCGGACAAATCCAATCCGGGGGCGGAGTTTGTCTCTTGTGGCAACTGTATCTAAGGCAGGCACCGTGGAAGAGCTTACGGCAAGTCCGGCAGCAGAAGCTCGGCGGGATGCGAGGAATGAAAACGTTGTGGCACGCCTCGCAGCATTTGCTGATGCTTGCGTTGGTTGTTGTGCTCGTACTGCCCGCGGCAGTTGTGTCATCGATGCTAACGGTCGCTTCAGCGCCTGGCACCGCAGGCCTTCGCTCCCCCTCTTCCATCGTCGCCGCTCCCTCCCGCGTGGTAGGTGTGCTATCGGTGAGTTGAGAATGGTGAAGGACATGGTGGTGGCCGGAAGGAGGCGGCCTGCCGTCGGTGCGATCATGCACATGCTCTGCCCTCTCTAAATCTGTTGCCTCCTCTTCAGCTGCCGCTGATACTGATGGCGCTGCCACTGCTGCCGGTGCGGCTGCCGGTGCTGCTGCCGGTGCTGCTCCTGCTGCTGCCGCCGGTGCTGCTGCTGCGGCTGCCATCGCCGTTACTGCCGCTGCCACCTTTTTGCTGATGCTCGGTGAGGCCAAGGTTCCCGGCAACATTCTGGAAATATCATTTGTTGGGGTGGCCGCTGCCGCATTCGGCGCTACCGATGACGACGGGGCCATCAAAACGTCCTTTGGTCTGCTGTCCGCCATCGTCGCCTTCAACGGAAGACATGAAGGGTTATTGTAGGGATGGCATCATTTCGCCGGGTGGCGGTGGCCGTGGGCGACACGACGAATTGCGACGGACGCACCAGCCCGAGCTTTCGCCCGCCGTCCAACCTTGCAGAAGGGTGGGTGGAACTTGTGACGGGGCCGCGCTCACCAATCGGGCAGTGAGGACAGACCCAATCTGGAGGCGGGCACTGTCTCGTCCTGGGGTTGTAGCCGACGCAGCCGCCGTGGAACACCCGCCGGCAAGACCTGCAGGAAAACGTGGTTGTTGCAAGGGGGTTCACGATCTTGTCGCATGCCTTGCAGTACTCACGGTCACTACTGCTGCTTCCACCACTTTGAGGAATAGATTGTTCTCTCTGGCTTTGGATCCCAGCGGCAGCAACTGCTGCCGATGATGGGAGCTTGCCATGCTCTCCGTCTTCCATCGCCGCTTCGCCGACCCCTGCGGGAGAACTGTTGCTGGGTGGCTCCTGACGGCGCTCCGCGCGAGCCCGAGGTACCACGCTGGCGGCTGGGCCATGAGAAGCTGCTGCTACTGCTACTGCTACTGCTGCTGCTGTTTCTGCTTCTGCTGCTGCTGACTCTGCCTCTGCTGCCGCTGTTTCTGCCGCTGCTGCTGCTTCTGCCATCGCCGCGGCCGCGGCCTTAGTCGGCCTGCCACTCAACGCAAGTGGTGATGGGGCGACAAGGACCCCCCCCCCCAACTTGGCTGCCTTCAGCCGCATCCAAACCGGGTTGTCGCCGAGGACGACGCCGTCTGTTCGGCGCTGGCACTCGTCTCACGGCCACCTGCCATCTGCCCCGACCTGCAGCCCGGCAATGCAGTGGTTGTGGGTCTGGAACCCGCAACCGCGGCACTTCGTCGAACACCTGGTGCCCATCTTGTTACCAGGGCCCGATTGTCTTCCAAGCAGATCGGGCACCACGGCTGGTTTCCTAGGGTTTGCTTTACCGACCCCAGACCCTTCAAGGACAGGTGGACGCATCTCTCGATAGGTCCACGCTCGCCATCCGGGCAGCAGGGACAAACCCAATCGGGCAGGGGGGATTGCCTTGAATCGAGGTTGTAGCCTACGCAGTCCCCGTGGAAGAGCTTGCCGCGACCCCGGCAGCAAAATATTGGTACGGCGGTAGGAAACTTGTTGTTGCACGCGTAGCAGCATTCCCCACTCTTGTCGCTGGTGGTGTCTCCAGCTCCTGCTCCACTAGGACTCGGTACAGAAGAGTTGCTGGAAGAGATGGCTGGGTTGGCACCAAGCGAGACACGGGTTTGATCTGGTGCTGCTGCCGTTGTAATCCGTTCAGCCGCTGGATCTGGTGCTGGTGTTAGTGCTGGCGTCACTGGCGCTGCTGGTTGTTGAGCGGGGCAAGGCACGCCTGCGGTTATGGTGTCCACGTCTCCTTTGCGACACGCAACGAAACAGCATCCTGGCAGGAAGCGTAAACATAGAGGAGCACGATTGCGATACAAGCAGCCGTCTATGAGGACTCAGTCCCTCTTCGCCAGTAGCAGCTCAACAGCCGGAAAGCGGAGAACAAGATGCTTAATCGGAGGAGCTGAAACATCTACCACCAAGTGGTCGGGATTCGTGTAGCTCGAGCGTGGGTAAGCTTTGGCGCACAGTTCACAGCATAGGACCTTGAACGCTTTACAACATACCTTGGTACCTTGAGGAGCCAAATCCAGAAGCAAGTCGCCGGGGGATACAGCGCATAGCTCTCCGCCGAAGGAAAGTAGAATATCTAGGTCGTTGTCAACCCAAAAGAGGAGTAGAACCAAGCGGGAAGACCAAATGGACCGTTATTCATGAGATGAGCAGTCGATTCGGCACGGGCTCTGCAAGAAGCGCAAGGTGTAGATTCTCAAGAAAAGGAGCTGTGTGAAAATGCGTAGCGCTGCGTACGTGCGAAAATGATGTGCGGTTGTGTAGCCCTAAGTGAATACAAGCAAAATAAATGGGCGCCGCTGAGCTGCACCCTTCCGAGTGAACAGCGAGGCAACTACTTTATCTGCAGTCAGTATGCTGTGCTAGACTAATTATTCCGGTGCTAATCGCCCAAGACCGTTCGTTGATCCGGCGGTTGTGTCCAATAATCGAAATCAATAGAGGCGCAACGGCTGTCCATCAACAGCACAAGCAATTACCTATATCGCAAATGATCCTTGTTACACGGGTTTTATCTTCCGAAAAAAGATCGCACCCCTTACACACAGTGTAGCAATATTTGAAGCTAGCTGAACTTCCTTTACCGGTTCGCAGCGCGTTGACAGTTACACCTAGTTCATTTCTGACGAAAAATCGTCACCATAAATGCCTAACCAGTGTAAAGATTGACACAGTTCACGAGGTTCGACGAGCGAAGGCAAGGACACGAGCAGCAGTCGGTGGAAAGGCCTAGCTAGGTCGGGTCGGACTGGATGTGCATGGCATATGGGAAGAGGAAGGGGGTTGAAACAAGAGGGGTCACAACGACACGAACGATACTCCATCTGCTGATTGTCATCTACTCTGTTTTCCAGATTGAACCCTACCGATCTTGATGTTGACGCCGTAGAACTGGTCCGAGAACCCCGAAAACTAGCATGGATCGGTGGTGGCAGCTGGCCAAACATCATCGTGCAGCGCGGGTCTCTTGTTTTGAGAAATGCCAAAAGGTGGAACGGATACTTCGCAACTTGGCGGCACGAGAAAAGGAGCGTCTAACTCCAACGTCACGGAGTGGGACGGAACGTCTCATCCCTCGAGCGTTTCTTGTCCAAGGCGGCTTCAAGTTTAGCCGCGAACAAACCGGGTCGAGCTGAAATTTTCGCGACGTCACACCCCAGGAAAGACAAGAAAGAAACCCACCCACTGCTTGTCTACTGTTCTTACCGGCCTCCTGGTCTACCCTCGGTTCTACGCCACGCACATGAACATCATGTCGCAACCGGGGGCACTCCCTCCGCAGCACCGATATGTATGCTACCGGAGCGTTCTCGTCAGGGCCCCTCGTTCCCAGCACTGACCGTTCCACTGCCCTGCATATCAGTGCTACATTACCGGGGGGAAATCTTATCTTACCTACAGCAACGTCTGGCCCTGCCACATTCGAATCTTGGCGATGCAAGTTTTCTCGGACACCAACAGCTCTGGTTCGGTGCAGATGGCAAGACAGCAGCAGACGGGCAAGCATGGGATCAGTTTATGGATAAAGCAATGTGTTCAGGACCGATTATTCTGTTCTCCAGCAGCTGTCGAATTGTTCAGAGCACCTTTCGGCCCCTGTACTAAAAAGACGAGCAATACATTATTATTGGCAGCAAAACAAAAACCAAATGTGTACGTACCGTATTGTTTTGGTGTGTGCACCCGACAATTCGACGTGCGGATGCAACCACTCTCGCCTTTCCCAACAACTCCAAGGAGCAATCGAGGCTTTCCCAACAACCTCAAGGAGCAATCGAAGACATGGGATTCAACCGGCGCTTTCGTTTCGCGTTCCATTTGCCGTCTCGCTGAGTCTTGTCGCTTCTCAAAACATGCAGCCCCCGCGCACGGGCTAAATCTTTCACTTTAAGGGTAAAAAAAGGGGGGGTGATCAATCAACTGCCCATAAGGTGGTATATGACTTCGAAAGAACGAAACTCCCTCCTGCTACATCATCGCTTGCTGGCGGCATTGAAACCTCGGCGAGCGCGTTTTGACCTCTTCATCGTACATTCTTCACTAGCACAATGGCATAAGTATATCACATGCAAGCGTTCATTTGTTCCCTTTTCTGGCTCCGGTAACAGTCACGCGTCCATGTGTGTGTGCCCATATGTCTTCATGATATTTTTTTTTGGAAAAACGCATCAAAGAAGGTGCTTCCGGGTCCGGCACAAGCCCGTCTTACACTATGGCATACAATTGTATTGCTTTTTAAATGGCCACCCAGTTCCAATGGCCCCGTGATGTGGGTAGATTTATTAAATTCACTACTTACTCAGTTGTTTTTTTTGTGTCTGATTGAGTTTTTTCAGATTCGCAGGTGTGGTTGATACGCGGGTCCCCTTTTGATATGCCTGCGGATGGCGGGGGCGAGCCTGACCGGCGAGCACTTGGCATGGAATATCGCGGCATAATTCGGATTGTCATCAGTGTCTCTTGTTGTTCGTGTTGGAGTGGAGCAAGCCGGCATCATGGTGTCGTCTGTTTGTGGTACATGGATATGAGTCCGATCTGTGCGTCCTCGGTGGGGGATACGCGTATAGGAAGTATGTGTGTGATGGGTATGAATGCGGTGGGGGTCCAAGTATGGGCCCCCCGAGAGAGCACACGGTGGTATGCTCCTGGCACTTGCCTGTGGGGTGAGCATCCTTGTCCTGTGTAAAATATATGGTGGCTACGCGCGTTCCTGGGATAACATAGTACCAAGGCTCAACACCACAGACCGCTAAGGGCGGCAGTGTACATCGTCATCTTGACGTTCCCACACCTCGGTGAAACCTTGGGGGTGAAAACGGGGGGTGAAAATGCCCCGTCCTACAATACGTACAGTAGCGTACAGTAGTACAGGAACAAGGAATCCTGACATCTTTATTTAGTGACATGCGTCGTGACGTTGATTCTTTACATTGTGGTTACAGGGTCGGACGCGAAACGGTCGTTGCCAAATAGGTGCCCACGTAACTTTGGGAGCACGCATACAGCCAGGGTCACACGGAGGTTGTTGTTTATTTCCCTGAGCCCTCCGTGTGACCCTGAGGGTGCCTGACTTCCGGAATTCGCCGGCGACAGCTGTAGCAACAGGCCAGCTGAATTTATTAGGAAATATATACAAACACAGAGAGACTACCCGTTCGAGATATAACCACGGCGGTCGAAGGGGATGAGTTTTACGCTTAGACAATGCCGCCCAAAGAGTTAGGTCTTTATTTGCTGTATTCTACATACATACACAGTTGAGGTCCCTGTTTAGTGCCGGTTGGATAGTGCCGGTGCCCGGTATAGTGCCGGTGTTTTCGGCGGGCACCCAGTGAATTCCAAGTCATTCTCAATATAGTACTTGGAGATGCCGGTCCGGTATATGTAGTGCCGGTGAACTTTCTGGCCACATACCGGCACTACACAGGGGCCTCCACAGCTCCACTGCAGGTAGACACCATCATGAACGAAACCCCGTCCAATCCTCCGCACTACAATCACGCACGTGTCTTGATTTTCTATAAATTGTCGCCGTCAAGAATCCCCAACCACGACGATAGACTAGTTTCCTTTCTTTATCTCGCCTGAAGTCTGGTTTTCAAACACCCAACGACTTTCTCCGCAGGGATCTGGTACAGTAGTCTAGTACTCACGGCTAGATCTTCAACGCAGGCGGCTTGACCCAGAGGGATGCACCACGGCAGCTTCTCACGGCCTGGATCGATCGCTGTCACCCTCCACCGGATTTTGGGCGGCGTCATCGCCATGCAAGCACACGGAGGATGTCAAGACACAGCCGATGGTAGCCCGCGGGGCCTTGCTGCTGGCCATGTACATGCGTCTGGTTGTGGGTGTCTTGCTTGCTCGCTTTGGGAGGGGGGGCGCTCGCTGGGACCCTACAGCAATCCGCGTGCATCATAAAAGATGATGGAGATGGTTTCGTGGTGTCATATTAAGAAAAAAAAAAAAATGCACGGGGCGTCGCACCTATTTGTCCGCATTTCACTGACTCTACTCCGTTCAACGCAACACAGCAAGTGCCCACCATCCTCACCGCTGCTGTTTCCCCCAGCCCCGCCACAAAGGAGCACAAGGAAGAATATGGACCTAGGCATAGACGACGAAGACAATGCGCAAAACCTCGCCATTCGTCTCGCGTCAATCAAAATGGAACCAGACGAATCTGTCATCATCTATGGGCTACGTCTGAACTCGCTCTCTTCCCGACTCGCGTTGGCTGTCGAGCGAGAAACCCCCGGCCGTAGTCCATTTGCTGTCCTGTCTACCACAATGTGGCGAATGGGCCTGTCGCCAGATATTCGGGACATGCAGTGGAATGGAGAGGCTGCCCTCAGCATGAGAGAAGCAAGAGATCGTGCCCAGCTAACTGAAGCAGCCTTAACGGAGCCAGACCTTGCAGCTTGCATGGCCAGCCGGAGGGCAGCTGACGTGCCGAACCACCGCAGCAGCAATGACGACGATGCTGCTGTCACCCGCGGTACGCCTTCGTCATTTTCCAACGAGGAGAGCTTCTCCTCGTCTGCTTCGAACGAGCGTGGCTTCGGCAAGCGGAAGAGGCGGCAGCGGGAGCGACCGGTGTGCACGTGGCCCAAGTGCAGCAAACCAGTCGGCCACCTCATCGGTCGGTGCTATCGAAGAATCAAGTCACAGCGAAAAGCCCAAAAGGAGCGGCGGGCTCACCGCAAGAAGAAGCGAGCCAAGACCTCCAGGACCACCGCGTGCCGCCCGGCCGCTCCGGACGGGTATGACGACAGCAGTATTGACTACGATGAGTGTTGTTGCGCAGCGAGCTGGTAATTGATGATGCCCAAAAACGTATGTGTACATGTTGCATCTGTCTTTGGTTGCTGACAATTATCCGAGAGAGGAGCGGAGAATTGGTGTGGTGTTTTTTTCGTTTGAATCGGCGGTCCCAGGCAGGACTCGCTCTTCAACCACAACGGAGCGTCCAGTAGGCTCAAATATTGTATGTGTGTAAACCCCTTGAACGGTATAGCAGTAGCTCTGTAAGAATCTCGTGTCCGTGTCCACGCTCAGGTCCATGCTCAGGTTCTTATCGTAAGGATTTCCGAGCTGCTGAGATGATTCACCATGCACAGTATGTACCGGTGGTCCGTTGGAACGCGATGTAAGATACCACACCCCCTGGACCGATTTTCAAAGCTCGGGGTACCCCATGACAAAGAGGATGTGGAAATCAACCAACACATTTTCGGAAAGCTCTCGACAAGACGGTTCCAACCACATCATCGGCACCGTCACTGTGCTCCAGAGCAATCGATCTTTGAAATTCCGTCCAGGGGATGTGGTATCTCATGCAACCTTCGGCGGCGGTATGTACAGCAGTGAGCGTGCCCGTTGCTTTCTCTTGTACACGAAGGCGGGCGGTAAAAATCCCCTCTTTTTTTTTGTCAGTATGATCCAAAACGAATCCATGTCTACGAAGGGTACCGTGTCGTGCCCGTAAAGAGACTTGTCCGGGTCTAGTCTCTCTCGTCGTACAACTTGTAGGGAGCCCTCTTCGTCTCGCGCTTTCGAAATGACGTGTGTCATTTGTCTTGGATACCACGTAATGACGCCTGCCCCGTGCAAACGCGTAACAAGGACGTTGTCCGCCGACGGTGATTGTACCGAGCTGTCGGCTGTATGTAAATGAAGTAGGTGTTGTTGACACGTTTTGCAGCTGTTTGCCAATGTGGTGATGATTGACTGGTGGTCTGGTCTGGGTCTGTGTGTAGGTAGCAAAGAAGCACTTTGGTATGCTCCCAGAAGGTGTTGGAAATTTCGTGCGGTGTATACAGCTCTTCGCTGTCGTGCACCAGTAAGCAAGTGCTGTCTCTCCTGCTCATCTTGACTACTTGTTGTCCGCATTGAGCGCATGGTTCATGAATGTCCCGTGAACCAAACCGGTATTAGCACTGCTACCGCGTGTCGGGTCTTTTTCCTTGGATGCTTGGGAGTCCCGGCCAATATTGAGGAACAACAGCGGTTGAATCCCTGTGCCATCATCGCCTTCGTTGTGTTGAACGCAGCGAAGGTTCGCCAATTCTAATCCTTGACGGAATGACGTGTTTCATGCTGCTCTATCCGTTGCGTCTCTCGGTCTGAAGTCAATACAGCGAAACCCCCTCGAACACACGTCCCCGCCCCCCCCCTCCTCGCCCTGTGCATTGCTCTAACGAGGATCTGCCAAAGTGCGTCGACGTTGATCATGCGCGTTCGGAGGTAGATGATGAGACAGAAAACCTCAGCGGGGAGTTTCGTCGATCAATCAAGAGGGTTGGGGAGTGGGTCAAGCCGTGGCGACTCAACGCTTTCACCCACACCTTGTAAAACTGTGTGCAACGTTGGTAGAAATATCAGAAAATAGCCATGGACGGCGGCCCATATAACCGGGTGAAATGTGATGACAGCTCTTCAGTAGCGTGGAGCAATTCCGGCCACTGCTATGTGTAGAAGCTAACTATGTTGGTGGCGGTAGAAGAGGATTCATCCAATGCGTGCAGACTAAAGTAACTCGTACGGTTCTCAAAATATGGTGGCGGACAATTTATGCCGTCATGATGTTACGAGCAACCCTTGATAAATTCTACGCGTTTGGTTAGATGGATGAAATCGCGCGAGTTTCGTGTGACAATCTGTTTATAGACCAGTTTCAAGCGATGAAAGGGGTGTGGTGTTGTACAGTATAAAACGGCGAGTACTTGTAGCGATATAACCATGCCATTCCATCAGTTTTTTGTTTAACCCTCTCTCCACCTACATCTGTTCGTGCCGGACCCGTGAGATAGACTCGGGTCCATGGGTAGAGTGTGTTCGGGAAAGAAAATGAGCATGGCGTGCTGTTTTGTCCACAGGAGAAGCAGTGAAGTCCTACAACACACAAGATGCGGTAGAAATCCTGCAACATTGAAGGGGGTACGGAGGGCGTACTCATATGTCTCGCATGCCTTCAAGTTGTTCGACCATTGATCACGCGTCCTCGGAGAGGACGGCGTATTGCTCCCACAGGCCCGATCACCGATGGCCGGTCGTTCCTTGCTACTACCCCAAAGGTGGCTCAAACTGATTGCCCTGCCCTACCCTACAATCTATCCTCTGTCGACATCACTTTCCGCCTTAAATTCACGTATACTGTACCTACCGTTTGCTCCTTGCTATCCCATGCCTCATACTCTCTGTGTAGCTGTCCTTGTAACTGTCCGAGCTCAGTCATGTACACCTCTCTCTCCTTTTCGTAAAACGGACATGCTGCAACATCACCCGGTCTTCACACTCGCACCCGCTTTCACAACTAGTTGAACTTGTCGTCGTCTTCGTCTCCCTCACAAAATCTTCGAGTTTCGTCTACAATTGCAACAATTTTCTCGTATGTAGGTCTTGTCGTTCCGTCCTGATTCCAACCATATCTTGGTACCTACATCCTTTTTAGTTCATGCAGGTTCTCCTTGAACCCGAGACTAATCGTTTTTACTTCCGTGTAATCTATCCGTCTACTGTAGTCTAGACCTTTCCCTAGGTTTCTTTCCGTCATCCATCCATCCGTCTCTCTCTCGGTTAATACGACAACTGATGATACCATCCCCGCTATCAAGGCTTTCCGTTTCCAACGTACCTGGTGTCAAATTCGTCAATCTAACCCCTCCGACAACGTTTCCTTTACAACCTCAGCGCATAGCATGTGGGTCGTCTACCCTTCTCCACCCCACCTCCCAATAACACCTATTTTCGGCAACCTCGCCTATATGTCAGATTGGCGCATACGGTATTATACCTACTGCCACGAGTGACATACAACCTCACAGAAAGACTACGATACCCGTTCGAGATAAAACCAAAGTCGAAACAGACGTCATGTGCTGAAATCGTTTCAGGGAGAAAGTAGACTAGATTTTGGTTGCTTCCTTGTATCTGTTCCCAGTCGGTCGAGATATTGGATCCATGCCCACATTTCTGCCCATTTTTTCCCTGATGATGCTGCATTCCTGCAATCTATATTACTTCTTTTTGTGCGCTTGGGGCATCCTAGGATGAATATTGCTGCTTTCATATGCTATGCGTTGCCTCTATGCATAGCTCTACCTTCTCATGTACACCCCTACTTTCTTCGGGGTCTCTTTAGCGGCGGACGACTGCATACATATGTACGATGTACGCCAATAAAACAAGGGGAAAAAAAATGAGTGTACGGGGGGGTTACCTTTGGGTATTTTTTTTAGTCTTCGTAGGGTTTAGTCCTCCATTAGTCCAAGATTCCCCCCTGGACACCCTTTCTCTCCCGAGGAACGCACACACCCCGCACACGCTGCTACTACTTCCTCTCTCAAGGAAAGCACCGTTTACTGCTACTACTGCGCGCCAACTAGGAGCGCAGCAAATCCACCTCCAAGCTCATCAACCGGGTCAGAAACGTGGGGGTGAAGATGCGGCGGCTGTAGCTGCAAGCACGTCAGAGGTTGCGACTTGTTCTCTGCTATCATCTCTCTTCTACATAAGTAGACTCCGCTCTGGTAGTTGATCTCGCGACAAGGCGTGGTGTCTTGTCTAACCCTGAGAGCTGAAAACACGGTGCTGGAAATCATTTGATCGTTAAGACGGCATAAAGAAGGTGGAGTTATGCTCGAAGCATGGCAAGCAGGGATGGTTCACGTGTTCAGCGAAAGACACGTGCTGGATGTCTCTCGCTGAACACGTCAACCATACCCTGCTTGGCGCGTTTCGAGCAGAACCCCTCCTTCTTGCTGCCGTCTTTACCATCAGGTTGTTTTCCGGCAGCAGTTTCGCAGCAGACGGAGCGACAACCCGACCACGCCTCGTGTTTTGTAGCATGTTGTAGCATGTTGGAGTAATGCCGCGTGCATGCGCGAAATCCGCGCCCGCCCTTGGTTTCTTTCCAGCAACATGTTCGAAATTCAAACTGTGCACGGAGTTCCCCTGTCTACCGCCGTTGTTTTGTTTCCAGCAAGGAGCGCCTAAAACTTGTTTCAGGCGTGCGCGGAGGTCACAGGATGTTTTTTGTTTGTTGTTTTGGACTGTAACTATTATGGCCGATGTACCTGTAACAACGACTGTAGAGTTATAGACTAGACTACAGTATCGGGTGAGCAAAGAACACGGGGATTACTTGCCAACGCGAGCATACCATTGACTGTTTGTCTCACTCACACAACTGCCAGCCACCGCGCTTGGTTTCTTTCGGGATGATATCCGTACGCCTAGGTGCTTGCATGAGTGCTTTCCAGGGACATTCACCGTGTGGAAACGCACCGCGGTTCCTTTTTCGTTTCTGAAATGTAGTCACGACAGGGTGCGGCTTTCTTCATGTCGAATGGTGACGGTGCGGTGTGGTGCGGTTTACCCGTCATGCGTTTTTTCACGGTACGGGTTTTCTCCTCCGTGATCAAAACCGCGCGAACCGAGGCCTTGGTTGTAGTGCCCCGTCGAAGAAAATCGCATGAATACAACAGTTCCCCGTCATAAACGAACGGGAGTACCCACAATTTCGTGGAATCTATACCCAAAAGAAAAGTGCATAACCAAAAGTGCGTCCCTGCTACGCTCAGAGTCTACCTCGACAACCATTGCCCTCCCGCACGAGCAGCTTGGACACATGAAGCAATTTTTGCCATTCCTGGTGTAGTGTGCATCTCCAATGGGAGAATGTTGCGGTTTTTTACCGCGGTTTTGGCGACGGAGTAAAACAAACCATGCCGTGTTCAAAATCGCACGCACGGTTCTCTATGTACCCCACGGCGCCGTGAGGTGCGGTTTTTTCTAACATCTCCAAAATTGACGGTGCGGTACGGCGGTGCGTTTTTTTCCTCTCGAAAAGTGACGGTGCGGTCGAAAAAAACGCACCGAGAGCATCCCTTGCGATTCATCAATCGCTTTCTAAGGTTTTGGAATCCCCTTCTTTTGCCTACTCTATGCTAGCGAAGCTAAAAGCAGTGCCGCACGCGGCTGCAATTGTGATATGAAGTAAACCTACACACACCACACAACCAACTAGCCAAAGAGGTCAGCGACAAATGACCACTCTTGGGTAACACGCCAAACATCGTTTGTTGCCAGCCCCGATGCAACCAACCTACTTTCTGTTGCTGAAGGTGTTGTGTCTGCAGACACTCTTTGTGACCCATTTTCAACAAAAAATATTACAATACAACGAACTCGGTTACCCTACATGTAGGCCAATTGGTCAATCGACGTATCCCATGCCCATGCCTGCAGTACCATACGCACGCACTGAACAGCTGTGCTACGACAGCAGGTTCCCTCGAGGCTGCAACCTGACGGTAACCCTCATCCAACTCCCTGCCCGTTGCAAGAGGGATCGCTAAACTGTAATAAAAGTAGAGATGCCCTACTCATCGGTTACGCAGCCTTCGGAAGCAGAGGCCACGTTCTTGATGTACTTGAACAGCGTGCCCTTGGTCGCCGCAGGGGGCGGCGGAACCCAGTCTTGTCGCCGCTTCTCCAACTCGGTCTGACGAGGAAAAAACGGGCAACAAGTCGTGTGATTTGGTGCAGTCATGAGACCTAAAAATATACAAATGAAGACATTACAACGGAAGCAAAACAACAACTAACGCGGTCACCTCGGTCTGAAAGCACTTGTTTTCATGTCAGCGGATATGATAATGACAACACATATTAATAATTTCATGACAGCAACGTAGGTTTATAACAGCAAATATGAGCGACAGAAGATCTTCCTGTCCAGCGTATCTCCCTGAACGCTGCTGTGTAAAAGCACTGCAAAGAGTGAGTACCGACAGGTGGTTGGAAACAACGTCCTATTCAATCAATGGGCTATGGGACAGCAGCGGGACGACGACTTCGCTAAAAATGATTTTGATGGCTCCTGCATTCAATAGTCGGACAGAGGACAACACACCCAAACAAAGCACCATCAAAATGCCAACACTTACAGAGGATACGAGGACGGAGATGGTGCGCTTTTCGGCGTCAATAACGATTGGGTCGTCATCCTTGAGGAGAGCGATGGGGCCGCCTTCCTGAGCTTCAGGGGTGATGTGTCCGATGATAAACCTGTCCCAACAACAACAGCGGGTGGAGACAAGAAAAAATTGGCCGCGCAAGCATCGGTACAAAACGACTCCACCGTGACCCAAAAAATAATAGCTAGAATAGCTGCAACAACCCGAGCAAAACGCAAGTTTGGGAACCCCGCAAGTAAACAGTTTCCACCCGCACATTCTACGAAAGTCCGTGATATGACACGGATCGACAACGAGCATTCCAGTCTGACGGTCATGGCTACAAAACAAACTCCAGAATCGCCATCACATGACATCGGTGAACCTGTTGGCTACTTGCAGAAGGACAACCTGCGATGACGATAACGACAGCGATAGGAGTAACAGCAAGAGCTACACGACGTCGTCGTGAATAACGCGCAGAAAGAATAATCTTGTCACACAATTATAACTCTCACCCGTGAGACCCCCCCGAAAACCTCCCGTCAGTGATGAGCGCCACCGAGCTTCCCAAGCCAGCACCCATGATGGCAGACGAAGGGGTGAGCATCTCGGGCATCCCCGGGCCGCCCTTTGGCCCCTCGTAACGGATCACCACCACCATGCCGGCCTTGATTTCTTTTCGTGCCAATGACTCAAGCATTTCCTCCTCGGAGTCGTACACCTTGCGAGGGAAAACAAATGACGAGACGCGTAAAATATATGGAAATTAGAGGAGCCCACCCCACACAGCCACATCCAAGCGCGGACTTCGCCGCGCGTTTTGGCCATCGTTGGAAAACAAAAAAAATACCAACAAAAAACGTCATTTTTAGTCATTAATGGTATGTGTGGTACGAAGGGTATGTGAAGACTATGGAAAACACTGAGTCTTCTACCTTGCCGAGAACAGAGGGGGAGAAGGTATGTCAGGTTCCTCTAACTCGCAAGGCTGTTACTCAGCGTTCATCAAGGGATATACTTCAAGAGTGATCGGGAAAGAATTTCTTCCATGTCTGAGCCGAGGGTTAAAATGAGCTATTAATATGTAGATATTCGCGTGACGGGTAGGGAGTGGATGTCGCTCACGACTTTAGTCAACTCACCACGGTGGTGCACTCCATAGTGCGATCGATCTACGAGACGTTGTGAGCTGTGCCCAACGCACACAAGACAAACTAACCCATACAAGTTGCGACTGACCGGAACACAAACAAGGTACAGTAATTCTGTTGGGCTCCGAAGAGGCAAAAAAAAAGGATTGTTGCCAAATTCCACACATGGAATTTTTTACAGGACTGAAACGCGCTCTTGAACAGGCAACATACGTACGGGCTTTGTCGCGCTCACCTTAGCGACACCTGAGAATGTCAGCCCCTCCTTCCCGGTGATCTTAGCCACGGCACCCCCTGGGGCTACGTTGCCGTACAAAATCTGCACAGCGAAACATAGCGGAAAGAGGCAGGGCTAGCCTGAGTTTCCCTGCAGAATCTACACACCCGCATAGCAAAACAAGGAATGCCCGGAAAGATATACAGCAGTAGCAGGGAATACAAGATGCGTTGCAGCCGCTTGGTTTACTCCGGAATGCTTCGCGTATGCATACCTTAAGTAACTCACAAACCAAACCAACCATAGCATGCAGTACCTGGATGTGTCCCGAAGGTTTGATGGGGTCGGACATGGGCTTGATGATGTCCTGGCCCTCCTTCAATCCTGGCAACTCCGCCAAGTTCTCCGCTATAGTCCTGACCATACCAACAACAAAACAACACAGACGTATGTACAAATGCGGTAAGAGGGTGCATGTTCTTCTGCCACACGCCTCGCACTGTTGTAACCACCCGTGTTAGTCGGATATGTCTCCGCTACAGCTCCGATAGCAACGATCGCATCATCACCACCACAGGAACGCGCAGTAAATCCGGTGTTGAATTACGTCGACTGTAAAAGTATTAATATAATACCGCCCTGACATTCGTGGTTCTCCTTTACATTCGTACCGCAGGTGACATAAGATACCACACCCGTGTGATATCATCGTTGGAGTTAAAAAATCATGACACGGGTGTGGTATTTTGTAGGGGGGGGGTGTTATGTTGTGTGACCCGTGTGATAATCTGCATTCAAAGGACTCCACCCCGCAGGGTGTATGATAAAGATGGGGTGTGATATATAGTGTCATCCGTGCGAATAAGTGCGCCCACGCTATCGTACCTACAGGGGGTAGGTGTCGGGGGGGGGGGGGGCGTACTCTTATGCTTTGCATGCCTTAGCGGTTAGACCATTGACCACGCGTCCTCGAGAGGACGGAGCATTGTTCCCACAGGACCGATCACCGATGGTCAATCGTTCCTTCCTACTTTGCCAAAGGTGGCTCAAAAATTTCTTTCCTAGTCTGTCTATCCTACCGATGTCACTTCCCGCTTTTTCAAACCACTTTCTACTCCCCAGTACCGCTACCGTCCTCTCCTCTCTATTCCATGCCTCAAACATCTCCCTGTACGTCCCTTGTATTCTTCCCAGCTCAATCATGTACACTTCCCTCTCCTTTTCGTACCACGGACATTCCGCGACTACATGAACACTGTCTTCCCATTCGAAGCCCCAATCCCATTTGAACTTTTCGTCTTCGTCGTCTACCGTCCTATGTCTTCCTCGACGTTCGCAAAGGCCTATGTCCCCGGTCCTGAATTTGACCTTAAGCTTTGTCCCTGCATCCATTGGTCCATGTAGGTAATCCTTGAACCCTATTCCTTCTTTCAACATTCCGTACACTTCTAGACCCTCCTTATCCTTGGTTTCTTTCCTTAGATTCTGTTCTTCTCTCTCGGCACAAGCAACAGATATCTTCTTCTTGAACCCCTGTAGACCCTCCGTTTCCAGCGTTTCATCTTCGTCGATGTCCAATCCCTTCCATACGTCCTCTACAACCTTGACCCATTCCGTGGGTTGTCTACCCCTCTTTTTGTTTGCCCACTTCGCCTCCCATACTATTCTCGGCAACCTCTCCTCTCCCATCCCGCACATGCGGTACTGCCATGTCAGCTTCCTTACGTCTCTTCCCGACCGTAGGGATTGGATCCCCAATTCTGCCCTGACTGCTGCATTACTTGTGCGCTTGGAGCATCCTAGGATGATTTTCGCTGCTTTCATCTGCGCCGCCTCGAGTTCTTTCACTACCTTCTTATTTCCTTCCCATACTTCTCCGGCGTACTCCAGCGGCGGTACGATTACGCTCTTCAAAACCGTCAGTTTGATGCGTGTATCAAGGTGCCGGTTTGCGAGTATTGGGTGCAGCTTCCCTGCTCGTGCTTTGCCCTTTTCCGCTACCTTGGACATGTGTGCATTCCACGAGCAATCTTTTGCGATCTCTACTCCGAGGTATGTGTACTGGTCCACTACTGCAATCTCCTCGATCCCCCACTTCCATCTATGTTCTACTGGTTCCTCCCTGCCCTCGTTGCATACCATGACGGCGCTCTTCGTAACGTTGGCAGACAATCTCCACTTATCAGTAAACTTCTTCGCCGCGTCAATTTGCAGTTGCAGTCCCTCAGGGGTGTCCGACATACCAACAAAGTCATCCGCAAACAGCATTCCTGACACCGAAGTTTCCGTGTCCCCTACTTTTACTCCCTTCCGGACTGCCTCTACGACTTCCAACAGATCGTTGATGAACACCTGGAACAATGTTGGGGACAGCGTGCAACCTTGTGGGACCCCTTGCTCAATGTCGAAGAATTTAGACAGTTCTCCGTCTAGCATGACCGCGCTTTTCGTACACTCTGTCCTCTTCTTCAGCACCCTCCACATTTTCCCCTTGATCCCGTACTTGGACAATTGTTTCCACAGCCCATTTCTCCATACGGTATCGTATGCCTTTTTCACGTCCAGGAAGAAGCAGTACGTCCGCTTGCCCGCCCTCTTTCTACCTTGGATGATTCTCCCTACCGTGAATGCGTGGTCTACGCACCCCCTCTTCTGTCGGAAACCTGCCTGGCCCTCACTAATGCTACGTTTCTTCTCCAATACTCCCACTATCCTATCGTTCAGCAGCTTACAGAACACTTTTCCTACTGTGTTCAACAGTGTGATACCCCTGTAGTTTCCTGGGTCAGTCTTGTCTCCTTTCTTAAACAAGTTCACAACCACTCCTTCCCTCCATCTACTTGGCGCGTACTCGTTTTTCCACACCCAGTTGTATAGCAGTACCATCAGCTGGATCATCCCCTTGCCCCCAAACTTCATGAACTCGTTTACTATCCCATCCGCCCCTGCTGCTTTGTGGCACTGCAGCTTGTTCACACACGCCTCAACCTCGTCCTCAGTGAACTCCTTTTCTAGTTCTACGTTCCCAACGTCTGCCTTCGATGTCTCTTCTTCTTTCTGGGCCCATGCGTCCACCTCCTTCTTAAACACTTGGTCAAAATCTTCATTCTCCGAAGGCACTCCAAGTCTCTTGTAGTGTCCTGCTAGAACTTCCCTTTTTCCCTTCCCACTGCTGACTAGTCCACCGTTCACACCTCGCAATGTTGCTACCCCTGTATCCCCCCCTTGCGCGGTCTTTTTTACCATCCCACTAATCCCTTCCCACATCTGCTTGACGTTCCCCTCCAGGCCTCCGTTGGCCTTCTGCACTACTTCGTCCCAAATGCTCTTTTTCTTCTTTTTCACTAGTCCCTTCACCTGTTTCCTCTTGGCCCTGTACTTTTCCCAACTCTCTTCAGACCCCTCACCCAGGTAGTGCTTGAAGACTTCTCTACGTTCCCCTATTTCTTCTTTCAGCTCGTCATCCAGGTGTCGGGGGGGTGTTAATCACGGGGTGTGATGACGTTACATATATCCTGTGCGGGCCTCAGCAGCACGGGCGCTGGCAAATACAGCGGGGGCTGCGGGAAGTCTCAAGGACAACAGGAAAAAAATAGGCAATTGGGCATGGCGCCGCCGCTATTGTTAATAGTTCGTGCGCCAGTGAAACTACGTGTGTAAAATTTGATATGATACTCCCACATCACATCTCAAACTGTGGCCAGGCATGCTTCAATGCTCCTGCTTTCAGCAGCTGGTGCGCTGCGGGCACCCCTTTTTCTTTTGTGGATGTCAACACCTCCGCTAACGCCGTGTGTGCGTGCACTCTTAGCGCAATCTGCAATGCAAAACAACAAGGACGTTGTTCCCAGATACTGTTGTAGCACTCGTGTTTGCCATGCCATGTACACCGGCCGCAATGCATTCTGACTTCGCACACGCCAATAAAATAAGGAACACCGGCACATTTCCAAACTCATGCAACACGTGCAGGACGCCAAATCCTCGTTGTAGACCAACAAAAATGAGACTAAAAACATGTGCCAGGCATCAATGGGCAGGCCCTCGCGCGTGCGAATCATCGAATGTTTTTTAGAGTTCAGTACGCCTATTGTCTTGGCGTACCCATCAGCACTCAGCACTTACTTTCCGGTGACGGTCATGCACGAGCCATCCACCAGACCCTCCTCCATGAGCATCTTGAGCACCGCGGGGATGCCGCCCACACCCTGCAGGTCTTCCATGACGTACTTGCCGCTGGGCTTAAGGTCGGCCACAAAGGGCACCTTGTTGGAAATCTAAAGCAAAAAGACGAGAAAAAATGGCATTTATCCAAAGTTGCATGCAAGAGGAAGGGTCAGCAGCCGTTCCCATGTTCGTTCACAGCGCCAGAATCAGCAGCTGATCGCTGGTTCATGTTGTGAATACGGAATTGCGAATATGGAAGTACCCATCCATCTATGCGAGCTGCATCTCTGGAGGAGCTGAGATATCGCCCTGGTAGTAATGTGCGTCCGCTGGGCAGCGGTGTTTATTGTCGTAGTCGTCGTTCCCGTTTGCGCTTGTTTTTCACCCATCAGGAACTGGTAGTCTGGATGTTGGCTTATTGTTGTGTTAATGTTGTTCGGATCCATCCGTGTTGTTTCCTTCTTGTGCTGGTGTTAATTTGTGCTGCTGTGCTGCTGTATGACAGCTGCCTTGCTGTTGCCCCTGATCTTACTCCAGTACATGCGCGAAGATTCGAGTTCGTGGTGTGCTGCTGCTGTTGTGGTGTAACCCGCGAATACAAAACGGTTTATTTCTGACTCAGTTTGTTTCGAATCGGTAATATATATATACATCGAAAAATCTTTCGAGGGGAATGCGCTCGACATCGGGTGGTGGATGTCCCGTCAAAAAGGGTCGGCGACAGGTACATTCGACATCGCGGGCTACCTTCCACGACAACAGTAGGCCTGCACGCCAGGCCCACTGCGCGGGGACAACCCCTTTCCGTGCGTTGGGTTCCTTCCCTCTCCCTCCTGCCCCGCTTTTTTCTTGTTTTTTTGCTTACAACGAAAATCAAACGCCTGCATGGGTCCTGGCAATGATTTAATTTTTGGGGTCCGCTCCGCATGATAAAATAATTTTGTCCGCGACCGTTATAGTTCGCGGGGCCCGCCCGGGCATAGACTCGGCAGCAGTTGAACTTCCGAGGCTTGACATCCTTGACGTGCGCGAACATCAACTACAGATATAGAAGACTGGTGCTCATGACTGTTGTCCGTCGGATCCAACGCCAGACGTGTGCGCACATCATACTACATACAGATGGACGGTGTTGACAAGGCTAACTTTTCTGCGGGTGGGGTTTCGTCGTCTCCATGTCAACCACGGCCATCATTCTATTGTGTTTCGTTTCGTCACGGATATTTCATTTCTTGTCGCCGTTTGGGATCCTTCGGATCCATCCGTGGAACGTTTGGTGGTACAGTTGCGCGCGCCCCGTACCCGCGGGGGCGCCCCTCGCCACTTTCCCGCCACAACCTCCTCCCGCATCGTCCATCGCCTGTCCTCGGCATGTCGAGTGTCTCCAAAATGTGGGGGGCGTTCCAGGAGACGGTCGAGCAGACTCGGAAGACCATGCCGAAACTGACTGCGGAACAGGCCGCTACCCTTACGTGCCTTCTGTGTGGGCATGGCGAGTTCGGCCCCGGCTGCAAGGGGCGAGGGATCAGGTGACCATTTTGTACAGTGTTGGTTTCTTCGTCGGCAGTCAGCCTCCTGTATACCTCATGCGTGGCCAAAAGACAGCCGCTTGCACTCTACATAGCCTGTGTACCTCATGTATAGGCGTTAGACAGATGGTTACGTCTCGCCCGTAAAGTATCACCTCGCTTGCTGATAACTACTTCTCGAAGTGAGAAGCGCTGCGAAGTACTCATTTAAGTGGTCGTAGGGTACTGTAGGTCATGTTTGTGTTATCTTCTCCACCAGCAGACTTCTCCGCCAGCAGAGAGAGGTGCATGATTACCACGCGAGCGCCGTCTTTGCTGTAGACATCGCTCGACCGGTCCCGCCCGCACGCCGTTCAAATTCTCTGTCGCTGTTTCTCAGTTTTTATTGTCGTCGCGAAACTCACGCGACCGCGCACTTCCTTTCCTATCGACGTCGTTCCCCTTGTCTATGGATGCTTGCGACGTGAACAGCTGCGTGCAGTGCGAAAGGAGCGTGTTCGTTTCGGCGGCAAAGCAAACCGACAGCATTAGAGGAAGTTCTCCCGGCCCTTCCTTTGCTTTTTCTGCAATTCGCCCATCGGGCACCAGCAGTCCTACTACCGTTTCGAAGACCCTCGGCGCCGATTCCGTCAGGACAACAAGACGGTGATGTCCGTGTATCTCCACGCCGACGGCGGCAAGTGCGTCGGCAAGAAACAGCCCGACGGCTCACACTTTGGCTGCGCCGAGTGTGGCGAATCGACGGACGACGTCCGTGACGTCATGGGCGCGAGCCAAGAGGCCCACATGTTCTACACTGACAGCAAGTTCGAGTTCGACAAGCGGGCGGACCTCCTCGCGGAAGTGCAGGCTGTTGATTGGCCCCAAGCCGAGTGCTGCTGGATGAGCACGGCTGTCCCGGTTGACAATGTGAAGAGATGGTTAAGTCGTTTTATTGGTCGTCCTCGTACTGTAGACACAAGCAACGGAAGAGAGTGGGCACCCAGGTGCATCACAAACACCGAGGCACGCGAGCAACGGTCGCAAGACGCATTCGGAACTCGGAACACATGACAGCACGGAACGCGCGACAACTTGCCAAAGATCCTACTACCGGAGATACCCCGAAGATCCAAATGACCGATGGACGGTCACGCACTTGCGCATCTGCATGGCTCAAAACCACACATGAGTACTACCGCAGTAGCCTTCGTAAGGATGGCATAATCCACCTCATGAACGCCCTCCCTGAGTCTGTACATCAAAACGAATGCTCTCAAAACCAAAGCGTTCAGGGTACTTATAGAAAACTCCAAAAGTAAACAAAAATAAAACAAACGGAGGGAAACCCGGCCACCGGATCAAAACCCTCCGCCCCCACGGGTCATCCTGCTGATTGAACTGTCAACACAACCAAACACAGCAGTCACAAAGTTGCACACATCGGATAGATCATGATCTAGATCATCTATGGTGTATAGATCAAGAGCCGGTAGTATCACAGATGATCTGTGGAGTTATAGATCAAGAGTCGGAAACATCCACAGATGATCTATGGTTTACAGATCAAGAGCAGCAAACATGTGTAGATCTATCTGTGTCTATAGATCAAGAGTCGGAAACATCCACAGAAGATCTATAGTGATAGATCAAGAGCAGCAAACATGTGTAGATGTATCTGTGTCTATAGATCAAGAGTCGGGAACAGGGACAGATCAACAGATCGCTATAGATCAAAAGTCGAAACAAGGACAGATCGACAGATCGCTATAGATCAAGCGTCGGGAACAAGGACAGATCAACAGATCGCTATAGATCAAGAGTCGAAATAAGGACAGATCGACAGATCGCTATAGATCAAGCGTCGGGAACAAGGACAGATCAACAGATCGCTATAGATCAAAGGTCGAAACAAGGACAGATCGACAGATCGCTATAGATCAAGCGTAGGAAACAACGACAGATCGACAGGTCGCTATAGATCAAGAGCAGCAGACAATGTTAATGTTGATGCTCCGATCTTTGCCTATAGATGAGAGCCGGAAACAAGGACAGATGATTTGTGAGTTACAGATCGAGAGTGGCAAACATGTTCGGAGCTATCGATGTGCATAGATCAAGAGTCGGAATATCAATATCACTGATGATCTGTGGATTATGGATTAAGGTTGGCATACATGTCCGGATGAATGGGAGTATATATGTCTGCCCCGACCCGACACCACTCTGATACAATTGCACACCAAGATGTAAAGGTGAGCATTGTACAAGACGAAGGAAATCTGAATGTAAATGTGTTCAAAAGCGTCGTGCCTACCCGCCCCCCCCCACCTCTGAAGTAGCCCGGCCGCACGAAAATTGTTGTTCGCAAAATAAATGTACCAACAGCATTGTTTTTCATGTTGTCTTCGCATCACAAACTGTTCCGTTCTCTCTACCCAGTACCTTCTTCTGTCCGTACAAATCAAGGGAACACGACACAACGGTATACCCTGGTCGAAAAGCGACACACCTGGGTACACAGTCATTAATGCATTCATATGATTGGTCAGCGCCCAATTTCACCCCGGTACGTCCGAAAAGGCGCAGGGTATACCCTGCTGTGTCTACTTTTCTCACCAACTGTACCCTGTTTTCGGAAGTGTACCCTGACCTGACGGGAAATAAGACCCATTCATCAATCATTTCCCCCGCAGGAATCTTCCCAACTCCTTTTCCTCTCCAACCATGGGGTACCAAACGGCTAATCTTCCCAACCAATAACAACCATGGCAACGCGGCAGGAATCAGTTTCCGCCCCTACCAAACAACACCAACCATCAACTCTTCCGCTCTAAATCAACAATGGCCGGGCACTACCCCAGCACAGTTGTTCCGTTTGGAAACATGCACACGCGTACAATACCCCGTACACCACTGCTCGCTGCAGTCTATCTATATGCGACATGCACGGGTCACGCTACGAAAGCGAGACCGATCCAGCATGGTTGACATGCATATATATATATGCATGTGCCCATGATGTGTGGCGCTGCGCTGAGCGGGCGGAGGAGAGAGGCGGCAACACCACACACAGACACGCCCTTGACTACAATCATGGAAGGAGGAGCGAGTGCTAACAACTCTAGCAGCAGGACTGTGTCGTCCAACTCAATCACCCTCCCTGTGCTCGCGGTGTATTTCATCGGCCCATCCCGCTGAAGCCTGACGTCTTCTTACTACATAAATTGATTGGTTGGTCGGCTTGGTCGGCTGGTAAGCGCGACCGCTGCTGTTACCGCAGTAGTAGTAGTTCAAGCAAGAAACACATCGCAATTGAGACACAACAGACAACACACCCACGCACACACGGCACAGGCAGGAGGGAGTGGCGGCGCCCAACGTTACCCGTGTAGTGCTGTGTCCATACATGCATATATATATATATATGCATGTCAACCATGCTGGATCGGTCTCGCTTTCGTAGCGTGACCCGTGCATGTCGCATATAGATACAGTATTGTACGCGTGTGCATGTTTCCAAACGGAACAACTGTGCTGGGGTAGTGCCCGGCCATTGTTGATTTAGAGCGGAAGAGTTGATGGTTGGTGTTGTTTGGTAGGGGCGGAAACTGATTCCTGCCGCGTTGCCATGGTTGTTATTGGTTGGGAAGATTAGCCGTTTGGTACCCCATGGTTGGAGAGGAAAAGGAGTTGGGAAGATTCCTGCGGGGGAAATGAGTGATGAATGGGTCTTATTTCCCGTCAGGTCAGGGTACACTTCCGAAAACAGGGTACAGTTGGTGAGAAAAGTAGACACAGCAGGGTATACCCTGCGCCTTTTCGGACGTACCGGGGTGAAATTGGGCGCTGACCAATCATATGGATGCATTTACTGCTGTTAATGACTGTGTACCCAGGTGTGTCGCTTTTCGACCAGGGTATACCCTGTTGTGTCGTTTTCCCACAAATCAAACACTTGACGCGGTCGCCGTAGCACACACAAGAGAAGAAGCGAAAACCATGAATCTGAGCAATACACTACAACTACGGGA